CTTCCGATTTTTCCGGATATAACTGAAAATCGTAATTTATTTTTAATTTTAAAATGAAAACCCCTTTTTTATTAAAAATTTGAATTTCTGGGACGTTTTCCGACAAGAAGTGTGTGTTGAAAATTGTTCTGTCAGCTGTCAAAATGACCGTCATATTGGTGAATATATTTTTAAATATGTTATTGTAAATTTGTTTATGGAAAAAATATGGGAATGTATAAAATCTTTGTGAGCTACATAGTTCTTATTAAGGCCCATTTACAGTACACCAGTGGCGTATCTAAGATTTTTGTTATTAGCAAACCGTTTAATAATTCCACCCGCTTTTATCTTCCTTATTAATTGAGATATCGGAATGAAAATTTTTTTGTTTGAAAGCTTTTTTTTTTCTCTCCTGGGCTCATCTGACTATGTGTCTCCGAATAACACTGAAGCCTATTGGCTTATTGTGTTTTACCCCATGTTAGTTCATAGCTTAGTAGATACGCCACTGGTATACGGTAAATGGGTCTCAATGGGAATTTTGAAGATAACAAAGATTTTATAAGGATCATACATTCCTATATTTTTTTTCATAAACGAATCAATAGTAACATGTTTAGAACAAATATTATCCAATATGGCGGCCATTTTGAAAGCTGTCAGAAAATTTTCAATACACGATTATTATACAAAAATGTCCCATCATAAATCCAAATTTACAATAAAAAAAGTGGATTCCATTTTAAAAATAAAAAATAAATTACGATTTTCTGTTATTTCCGGAAAAACCGGAAGTAAGCTAAGACGTCACAGAATAATTGAATCCATCGCAAAAAAGTACTTGTTCTAGTCTTTCAAACAAGAAAAAAATTATTTCGATATCTCAATGAATAACGAAGATAAGGGGGGTGGAACTTTTAAGTGGTCCACCCTGTAGATATTTTTTCAGCCAACGAGACTGCTTAAACTTGAGGGCGCGATGAATTTTAGTTGCAATTAGTCCATTATTTATGGCCTGTTTATAGTTTCTATAGTGTAATATGTATTTGTCTTTATGATTCAAATTGGGAACCAGTTTGGTGATTTCTGTTTTGGAATTAGGTGGAACTATATTCTCTATTAAAAATGGTAAATCGGTATGTTTATCATAAAGGTGATGCGGATATGTTACATCAACTTCTAATACATAACCATAATCCCCTAGATCAACAACTGACATAACATCGAGTTGACTAATTTCCTCAGTCGATAACCAAACAAATTCCCCCGTGGGTAGAGGCTGACTCATGCTATACCCATAGAGATTTGACGCATCGATATATTTTCTTTCTACGCATTGGCTGATACTGCCGCGTATACTATTTCTGAAGAAATTAATCATATCTATATCTGTCAACAGTTCCAACTCCACCTTGGTGTAGCGCAACATCGCATCCCATGACAGCCCTGGAGATGTATAATATTGTGCCGGATCTAGTTTATATGCTTTAAGCGATACATCCCTAAAATTTTCAAATATATCGCACAACATTAAAACATCTGATTTTAAATATAAATCAGAATAGAATCCCAAGGTTTGACATTTAAATACATTCCAAACTTTCTGAGCCCTTGCATAATCCTCATCGGATATGTGACAATCATTTAACTTGTCATAAAACTCCTCTTTTGAAGGTAAATTGGGGTGATCTAATTTAATTATATTATCTATGAAATTATATGGAAACACCCCTTTCTGTCTCATTAAATCGAATTTTTCTTTCTCTGCAAAACATTTCTTTGTCTCAACAAAAAATTCCGATGGTAAGTTTACTGACAACCCAACCAAGGAATTCGCTAAAAATCTGTAACTATCCAAAAATCTAAGTTTTATGTAATTTTTTCTCAACATACCATCTCTATCTACATAGCTATGGGTGTACAATGGTTTAGTGAACGAAATATATTTTTCTTTATTTTGGGCAATAACTTCGGCCCTCTCACCTTCGCCATATAATTCTTTAATAAATAAATGACTGTCGTACCCACTCAAATTATGAAAAAATATTGGAACAAATTGCGGGATTTTATAATTTAAATTACAATTACTATGCGCGGCACCAGGTGTTTTCTTACCGGTAATATGACAATGATCTCTTACTTTAATATCGCCTTCCTGAAAGATCTCATCGCAAATAGAGCATATAGTCGATGTGTTAAAATATTCTATTTCGACATTAGATAGTTGGTGCATAGGGACAATGTCTTTTAAATACTTATTATAAATAGTCAAAACATCGTCCTCTAACCGTTTCACGAAATCGCTACCGGCATTATCACCCGTAAAAGTTACAAATTTCGTCAATGAATTATCAAATGAACATTTAATTAAATATGCGAAAGAATATGGCTCATGTAGGGATAGTAAATTTTTTTTCCGGATCTGGTTCGCAAATATCTATAGGTTTTAAGATCGATTTAAAATCAGCATAAATTACAAATGGAACTCTTAGTTGCTTATCATAATTTTGAAACTTAAGTATTATTTTCAGGCACATAATTGCCGCGTTTGTCTTTTTTCGGCTCTACCGATGGCGTGCAGGTATATATGTGATTACAATCGCGCAACTGATGCCGCAATAGGGCGCTTTCAGATGGAAAATAAAGTAAACATCCATCACAAAAAAAAAATGTATGACCATTTCTAGTTATTTGACTCGACACTAATCTGGAAAGACTTTTAATCTAACAGTAGTGACTATTACCCGAATCCTCCGTTATTAGTAGTAAATTTATATGATGACCTAACTTTCTACGGGAATATCGTAATGGGCCAACTATCTCAAATTTCACCTTACCATTTTCATAACTACGTTCTAAGCCATAAACATTAACTCTTATATCATTTAAGTCTTCAAATTTTGAAATGTCTTTAAGCTTCATGGAAAATTCAATACCTACAACATTCAGCACGGTCTCGAAGTGTGGATACGATGATGTTTGGCTAACATGATCTCCCGCTCTCCCGTACTTTGTTAAAACCTAGTAACTCTAGTTACTAGGTTTTGACTATGTATGCATAAATAGATTTAGAATTTCCAGCTCTTTCGAATGATATATAAAACTTATCTTTATCAGTTATATTACCTGTAATACCAAAACCAATTTTCTAGTAACTTTAACATTTTTCAAATAATATTTGATTAAAATACAGTAACAACATACTACCTATATTCTTAAAAGTGAACAGCTCGTTAGCCGCAGATTCAATTCTATTTAAAAAGCTAGTAAGTCTTAGTTACTAGGTTTTAACGTTGTAGAATCTAATAATTTGTCCTCCGTTTGCAGACACTAAAACATAACCTAAAATATAATCGTATAACAGGTTGTTTCTTGTTTTTACTATTGCAACAGTAGTACTTCTCTGCGTGAGTTTGTTAGGTACTTTTTGTGAAAAAAAGATATTTTTAGAACTCAAAAGTTGCGAAAGATGTACAGTGCAAATAAAGGTTTGTCCAGAACTGAAGTTATTTTACAAAATGCCAGAAAAACGTAAGTATTACACATTTCAAGTTTAAAAATAATTAAATATAATTGTGGAATTTCAATATTTATCGGTGCTGCCGACTTTACGTAAATTAAATTTAGCTATTTGTAAATTTATTAGTTGAATGTATACAATACAATAATATTTCACTATAGAACCATATAGATTATGTTTAATAGTATGGTATTAATTTGTATTGACACCTTAAACTTATGTGTTATTGCATAATAATTATGCATATACACACTTTTAATATTGATAAAACGTCATTGGTTAAGAGTGAAAATAATTTATATTTAAAATAGTATATTACATAGGTATCAAGTAAAGAAAGAGACGAATTTTACAGGAACGCGGCGTTAGCCGAGTAAGTGAAACACACGAGTGTAAGAAAGTCATTTTCTCACAAGATACCTATGTACATTATTTTTCCTGCAACCATAATAAATATACCTCGAGATTTATGGTAATTTCATTAAGTAATTTGTCTTTTATTTTCCACCCATGGGTGAAAAGTACACATGAGCACATGTCAATATTTTATTTACACTATTACTTTTGACATAATATGTAAATATTACTTTTGACGTTCTTTCCCTCCTACGGGTAGAAAGTGGCAATTTGGCACACATGTTTTCTTAAGAAGTCGAGCGTGCGCATTCCTTAATTTTCAGTTGTGTTTGTAGGAAAAATTGAATACTGATTATGCACTATTATTATTCACTAAAATATTCTAGGCGAGTATTATTGGTGTTGGTTCGTCACATTTGGTTATAGAGTTTCAGTAATATGATGCATTTTATTTTCTCTTAAATATACTAACAAATTTGAAACTGTATTAGGCCTAATAGTTTATTTTTAAATTTCAGATATTTGGAAGCAAAAATTTCTGATTCGGAGCCAGAAAATTGTTATTCGTTCGATGACACCGATGCAGATCCGACGTTTGACCCATTGGTTGAAACGGGCTCTAAAAAGCCTATCTCTTACTTTACTGAAGAGGATATTTTATTTCCAACAGAAATTGACTGCGAGAAACCTACGAGATATATCGAGACAACCAAGGTCCCAACTTCAGGCACTTCAGATGATAGTATTATTAAATAAATAATAACATCTCTTCTGAAACAAGTAGTTCAAGAAGAGAATTCGAATAAAAAGGTAGCAAAGAAACAAAAATTAACAAAAACCGATGAAAAGAAAAAACAAAAAAAAAACTCCAATAAAAAAGCTTTACTCTCACCATGCAAAAAGACATGCCGTAAACGCTGTTTTGAAAATATAATGCCGCTAACAAGAGAGAAAGTATTTAAGCAATATTCTACACTGCTAAATTACTCAGAACGCCAACTCTTTTTTGATGCATACATTAACCAAAAAGGGGTTAAAAGTCGAACTTCTGGAGCTACAATAAAATTCAAAAAAAAATACCACGTTAGAATACTTTTTGCCTCAAAATGGTCAGAAGATTACAGTTTGCAAACCTATGTTTATGAAAACACTTGGCATGAAAACGGATGGAAGTATAACGTCATTTATGCAATCTAAAAGAAATAACCATGGGCAGGCAAGTTTGGTAGACAGACGAGGAGAGAAGGCAAGAAAAATCAGTCTTGAGAAAAAACAACAAATTGATGAAGAAATCGTAGCACACATAGAAAAATACAAACCAGTCGTCTCTCACTACAAATTAGTGCATGCACCCAAGCGCCGTTACTTACCATGCGACTTATCTATTACGGCACTCTGGAAAGATTTTTCGGAGATACATGAAACAACAGTTGTGTCATATGAAAAATACAGAAGAATTTTTGAAACTCTCAATATATCTTTTGCACAGCCAGGTCAGGATGAATGTGGTACGTGCTCAAAATTTAAACAACACAAAGAAGAATATAATATATCAGATACATTGGATGTTCACCATTCAACAGCAGAGCAAAGCGATTGTTCCACCGCGCAAGGAGCTGAACACGATATTGAACATAGCAGCTGTGATTCTTGTAAAAGTTTTAAACTTCATCATGAACGATATACTGTCGCCAGAGAAGAGTACACCCAGGATAAGTCCAAGGAATGGCCCTCTAATACCAACATTTATACTGTTGACATGCAGAAAGTACTCATTATACCGAAAATGGCAGAGAAAAACTCATTTTTTGTGTCTCGATTAGTCGCCTTTAATGAAACCTTCTCACCCCTTCACAAAGCTAAAAATATTTGTGTGATGTGGCACGAGGCCATTACGGGAAGAAATGCAGCAGATGTAGCTTCGACGTTTTTCTGGGTAATAAAAAACTCTGACGCTTGTGTGAATGAATTTATATTTTGGTCTGACAACTGTTCTGCGCTAAATAAGAATTGGGTGTTATATTCAACTTTTGTTTTGCTAGTCAATCAGGACTGGGGTCCCAATACCATCAGAATGAAGTACTTTGAACCGGGACATTCTTTCATGAGAGCAGATTCAGTTCATGGCCAAATTGGTACACAATTGAAGAAACAAAAAGAAGTTTTAGACTTTCAAGATTTATTAAATGTAATAGATAAATCGTCAAATCAAACTGTGTCTAAACCACTAACATACGAAGATTTCAGAGGTTTTGAAGATGGTTGTAGACAGCGCAGCAAGAAGGCAGACTTTGGAATCAATATTATTCCTCTTTTAGAAGATGTCAGAATAGCGGAATTTAGAAAAAGTAGCAGAAGTTTATTTTACAAAACGTCTTTCCGACAAGAAAGTTATTTAGAATCTTCATTTTTAAAAAAGAAGTTTTTTATGACACTTCCTCCAAAACTGTCTGGCAACAGAGGGATTAACGTAGCAAAACGGACAAAAATTGAAGAAGTATTGTGTCTTCTGGCAAGAACTGCCAACCAACGAATTTTCAAAAGATTTATGTTCAACCAGTGCTGATTAATATGAAGGCATAAGTAATATACGATTTCAACTTTTTATAAACTATTTTTGTGTCCTATTTTTTTATATATACTCCTGTTTTTGTTTCACTACAATTACTATCGACTTTTGTATTTTCGCAGTATAATAAAAAACACTCTTAAATAAAAATATTTTCGTTTTATTGACAAAAAAACACACTTAAAATATAGTATCTAAAGTTACTATAGGATTGTACTGTCTTTAGTTATCATTATGCTTATTAAAAACCTAGTAACTCAAATTTCACACTGTAATTTAACATAATTTTTAGAAATAATTATACCACAAAAAAGGTGATGTTTTTTTAGCCTAGAAACGATTTTTATTTGAATTTTGTGACATACCTTATTCTGACGCAATACAAAAATATAAAAATTAATTTCCTGAAAACTTCAAAAATCAAGATACTAGGTTTTGACAAAGTACGGGAGCGCTATATACAGTGCCGATGTGATGGCCCAAGCAAAGCAATACGCATCATTATTTTGCACATTAACTACACCCTTCTTGGTTTCAATAAACTTGGGGAGCCTTATGTACGAGCAGCCGCCTAGTGGAGAGTACTTATTTATGTTTACTTCTAAAAATAGTACTTCCTGTAATGACCACCCTAAAACAATGAATACTTTATTAGTTAACATTATATTATGCATTAAAAAACTATTATACCTGAATCCTTATGTTGAAACTCCGCAGTTTGAGATACCACGGCCTCCTTAAAGTCTGCATATACCGCATCCAACTCTGTCGACACATCTAGTATTCGATTTATGCTGTTAAAAGATTTGATTTCGAAAATATCTTGGTTTTGCAATACGTAAGTAGCGAAGACCTCTACATTAACTTTATGGGCCCTCAGAACAACTTTTAACAATTCCAATATTCTAAATTTTATCGTATCAAAAAATGTTATATAATCTATATGCTTTTTATCACTTTTGACTCTGTAACTTGCGATTCTGCACTTAAACGCACTCTGAATTAAATATATACCATCGGCTTAAATTGTGTAGGCTTTTTCTGTATGGTCAAGACTCCTCATATGCGATGACATCTGATTAGTGGGGATGTCTACATCACATGATTCACATCTCCCATTATTCCTTTGCGTCTATAGTGCGATGCGTATGTACTTGTTTAACTCGCACTACCCGGGCATTTTTTACGGGTAGAACATCAGGGCTGGAAGTGGCGGATCTTTTCGTTCCTCTGGATGATTCACCAGTGCGATTAGATATCATCTTACAACTTTTATTTTGATGTCGATGTAAATTATCTATCCTTGTAAATGTTAAACCACAATTACACTTATACATGTCTATTATTTTACGGATATTTCGGTATTAGATAGTGGAACTTAAAACTCACGATTTTAAACTGATTTAATTTGGATATGCACGCTATTATATACCCTCTCTAAAAATTCCCACCTTTCATATGCTTCCCTCCACTATTCGTAATATACAAGTCTGAAGATGGGCAAAGGGTGGGGTTCTGCCCATTCCACCAATGTTTACGTGGCCCGTGTCTGCTGAAGACTAGCGCTTCACTCTAGCTATGGCGGTTGAGAGTCAAGGATGTGTTTAGACATGGACTTATTTTTCCTATGCCACAATAGTAATCACTGAGATGTATTTAGACTAAACTCATTATATGATATACATAGTAATTACTATCTAAGAGGTACTTACACTTCGATGGGTACTTACTATGCTCGTTACACATTACATAGTAAATACTCTCTGAGAGGTACTTACACCTCTAGGTATATGGGGTAATGAGAGGTGTAATTACACTACGCAATTACACTATGCAATTACACTTATTACAGTACATGATAGTAATTGGGAGGTACTTGCTAATTGCGCGAAGGGTGGGGGGTGGATACTTAGGATAATTACTAATTACCCAATTACCTCTCTCTGTACCTCTGACCTTGGTCCAGAACTGACTAATCTCATCTACTCAAACGGTGTGACGACTGATCCAATAAATCGAACTGGCTTTACTTTTGCCGCTTATGTGAACCAAAAACGAATTATTTATTTTTTCTGTGAATGATTTCAACGCTTTAGGGTTAATTCCACCATTGTGTTAAAATTTAAACTACTAATCGAAGATTAAAATTACATTTTATGTAAAAATGTCATTTTAAACTTCGTTAAAACCAATAATGGAATCGGCCCAAAGTTAGTTATATCATGGTCATTGATTAGTTGCAATTTTGCAAATAATTATTCTCCAGCGCTTAATAGCCACTTGAGTGATAATTAAATCAGTTATATTTTATTTCTTTCATTTACTTTATTCAGCACCTCTCGGCTGAAAACCGGGCATATTTAAGCTTTTATAACCTCGGCCTTCCACCACTTTTTAAGTCAATGCGTAGGTTTTTATCTATAAGAAAGGAAATTCATTTTTTATAGTTCAAATAATCAGATACTTAACCAGAAATAGTAAAATCTTGTAAATCAGGTTCTGCTTTTCCGCCATTTTAGTGAGTGCAAAAGACACGCCTACCGGTCCCAATACGCTGGTTCAGTGATTATGTAATTATGGTTTCACTGACAATTAAAGTGACAGTAGATTGAGTGCGTTTTGTTCGTTTTAATTGTTTACCTAAATTATATAGTTTTTTCCTTTTATAAATATACCTATTCCTAAAGTACCTAAGTAGATAACATGCATCAAATATACAATCGTTTAGTTACCAATTTACATACCTTTCAACTATTTTTATGACCTATAAAAAATATTTAGAAATAAACTAAAAACAGTAAAAACGTATATGTTAAATTTATTGTTGTTTTTGTTAAAAGTTTGGTTAGAATTAAATAACAGTGGAACCAAAATGACATCACACTGAACTAGCGTATTTTGTATATCAAAAATAATTACAAATGACGTATCCTCAGGTTGCCAGATCAATGGTACAACCGCTAATTAATCTTCTTCTTTTTTATTGAAAGACTTCTCAATGCTTAAGGCCAAGTTCAATTTTGTTTGACATATAATCACGATTTTTTTTTAGGTTAGAAAATTGCATTATCGATTTTTTTCATTCGAGGTAATAAAAGACGTCACTTTAAATTTCTATCTCTTTATGTCAACAAATTTATAACACGATGAATTTATAAAACGTATGTCACTAATGAATATGTGGCGGCAACTGACGGCAACACTGTCAGCTACTCCATGGCTACTAGAGTACATACAGGTCCGGTATAAGCTATATATAAATGGAAAATAATAATTTAATGTTTTGATTGAGTTAAATGAAATATCAAAATTAAATGTTTATTTTTAAGTAAACGACATTTTTAAATGTATACGTCTTCAATCAAAAATAATATAGGCTAATACTCAAGTGTATACTAGTGTATACGAGTGTACTGGACAAGAGATAATTTTACCCTTTGTTCCAGTTTTTTGTAATGAAACCAGCGGTAAAATAGATATTTGTGTACCAAGGCTGTGTTTTGGCCGAATTAGACATATGCGTTCGAGTCTAAGCTAGTTGTGGTTAAGTATAAGAGTAATATGCAAGAAACGGGTGTTCAATCAAACTTGACATCGAGATAGATGTCACATAAGCAGGTGTACTGAAGATGTACTTTGCAGGACCAAGCATCAGATAGGTATAACACTTGATATTCTGAAAACTATGCATACTATACTGAATAAGAACGAATGGAAATGTCAGAAGGAGGCTAAAGGCAAAAAATAGACGGAACAGAGCCGAATAGATAGATAAGTAATATGTTAGCCAGGAGAGAATCGATGAGTGTTATAAATATAGTTAATTTATGAATGTATTTTTAATGTATAATTTCAGTTTATTTTCATTTTTGGTATAAAACTAGGGCTGACATAATAAAACTCTTAAAAGTATATATATTTTCAATCTTTATTACTATACATTATTTAGTTTTCATTTATTCTCTCTGATCTAGGGAAAAGGTTAGAAAACCCTGGTCATAATTGTTTACAATATTGTGTGTTCCTAATGATACAAAACATTACAGAGGAATGATATTTAGCCGATGAAATCTCATCGAGTTCACGCATGACATATTGTGGTATGGAATATGGCTATCTCTGATGCATCTGCAGATTTAAACTTATGTTTGCGTACTGTTTTCTATCAACTGATACCTCAAATTTATACAAGCCACGTCTTCGCACCACAATGTGACATAGCATCAAATCTGCTTAATCTCGTACCATTTTTTTTAAGTATCAAGGATATTTTTGGTGTAGCTGATCATCATGTTTCGAGTCATTGAACCTAAAAAATAACAAATATCAATAAATAGAATTCGAAATTTATTCCAAAAATATTTTTCTTTGGGAATTATATAGGATTTCTCGTTAATATACTGACAAACTTTTAAAGGTGGTAGGTGCATCAAAATAAACATTTTTTTGCTTAATAAAATAAAAATAATTTTGTTGCCCAACAAATTAATCCATTTACAGAACAAAATACATGAAATAAATGTTAAACATAATATTTCGACAGAAAATAATTTTAGAAACAGCAAGAAAAAAAAAAGAAACGAAAGAATCCTAAATACATTAGCTACAAATTAGTACAACTAATGGTCGAAATAAATATCCCTATCAGAACAAAATTAATTAAAATTTGAGCACATCTACGTTATATGTAAATTTCTTCCCAAGTTCGTTCAAATACTTGCTGTATAAAATGTTTTATGATATCTAATGGCTGTTTGGGGAACATTAAAATTTATTTAATTTATCAAAAATAGTAAATCAATAGTGTTATGTAATATTTTATAAAAAATGTAACACTGGAAACTACCCTTCTATTTTCGAAAGAAGCAGAGATTCTTCAATACCTCGAATGGGATACAGCTCATCTATTTTAAAAGAAAGATACTTGAGAGATCGCCGCAGAAGATTTTCCAATGATCTTTTATGAATATTGTAAATAAGGTTCCAGATAAGAGATG